GACCAAGACCCCTGTATTTCCCACACCAACTTCTCCACCTGAGATCTTGGTTCCTCTGTGACCACCAGAGCCCGAGGTCCTCTTAGCACTGACCACCCAGAGCCTGGGCGGTCACCATGACTTCAGGGCCTGGACTCCTGGGTCTCCAACCCAAAGTGGACAGGACCACACTATACTTTCCCCTCTTCCCTGTGAGTTGTCATGGACCTCCTGACACAAGGGTGAGGACACAGGGGTTAGCTGTGAAGGTCACCAGACCTTCCCAGAACTCTAACAACCACCCCAAGACACCCCACCCTCACCCTGGGTCCTTGGCTACCTTCCTTTTCCTGATTCTCCATTCCTTTCCTATATCCTTCCCTAGAATACCTGTATCTGCCCTACCACTTCCTTCCCAATGCAACCTCCACCACCGCCATCTGCTTTTTAAATGGAAGGGATCCTGTGCCTTCCCTAGGTAGGCTACCTGTCTCATGGCACACCCGAGGAAACGGAGGCAAGAACTCAACAGGACTATCAAGTGTTGTGGTAGAGGTAGGCTAATGCTCTTTGTCTTCCCTTGTCATTTCTGCTGTCCCCACTCCTGGCCCACCCCTCTTCTGATTTCCTTTGACTGCCCCCAGCTCAGGTTCCCCAGCTGCTCTAACCACCCTTTTTATAGTAATGATTCACATGAATGACTCCCAACCACGTACCCTGTACCCACTCACCTTCCTTCCCCAAGCCGTACTCGAGCCTGTATTTCACCACGTGCCCATTGCTCAGGCCGGGGGGCAGGGGCAGCCATGCCACCCTGATGTCCGAGGGGTTGGGGCTGGACAGGGAGAGCTGGGGTGCTGCACTTGGGACTAAGAGAACATTAATGTGAGCCCTGGACATGGAACGTGAGGCCCAGGAACTGTCAGACATTTCTCCAGGTCACAGAGCTAGTCAGAAGCAGGATCAGGACCAGCATCCCAGAGGGGGCTACTCTGGGGAGCCTAAGTCCTGGTATGGTGTTGAAAGGACAGAATCTCCCAACCTGAAGGTTGGGGGCACAACCTTCCACATACAATGGGTTGATGTCATGAGCCTCTACTCTATGTGTGTTAAGGGAAGCACAAGTCTGAGCTGGACTACTGACCCTGGGCAAAGTCACTCTCATTTTTGGGGCCTCAGTTTTCCACTGTATATTGGAAGAATTCCTACCCACTCCCTTAAAAATACAAGCCAAACTCACTGCCATCACGTGGACTCCGACTCATAGCAACCCTAGCTAGGACAGGGTAGAACTGCTTCTCAGGGTTTCCGAGACTGTAAACCTTTACAGGAATGGACAGCCTCATCTGTCTCCGTGGAGTAGTTGGTAGGTTTGAACCATGGACACAAAATGTGACATGAGGCAGATAAAAGAGTACGGAGAACCAGGGCTACCATACCCAGGGGACTCTCTCGTTGCAGGTTCAGAACCCCTACCGTCATCCAGTGTGTGGACCAGCGCTGGGGCTGAGGTGCGGCTGGCCCCCAGCTGGGAGTAGGCCACCACGTAGAACTCATAGTCAGTGTTGGGTTCCAGGTCTCGAACCTGTAGCTCTGTGGTGTCATTGTTCACTGCAAACTGGTACTCTACATTGTCCATGCCTGGGATAGTGACAGAGGGTACAAAGAGACCACCCCAGGCACTAGCTTTCTAGGTATCCCAGTTTCTGGAGTAGTCTATTTATAGCTAACCCTGCCTCTCTCCCCACAATTTCCTGAGCTAGAGCATATTAACTCCCCCACCCCTGGCTTCTAGTCCCACTGTATTAGTTTCTCTGCTAGGGAGAAGCTCTTTTTGGTCTCGACTGCTAAAGTTAGAAAGCAGGGTAAGGAGGTGGTTCCTAAAATCCCAAAGCATTTTCCCAGGGAAGAGACACATCTTCCTCCTCTTTCATAACAAATGTGGCCGAGGACAAAATGTGCCATTCACTGATCCCTCCTGCATCAGGATGAAGAACCACGTGTGTTTCTCCTTCAGCCATCCCACCTGTATACCCCGCCACGCCCCCTTTGGCAACATACCCCGTGCCTTCTGATAGTGGAGGGAGAAGCCGATGATCTGCTCACTGTGCAGCTCAGGCCGCTCCCAGGCCACGAGCACCGCAGAGCTGCTCAGCGGCGTGGCCGTGACCCGTGTGGGCGCGCTGGGCAGGCCCTCGCGCACCACCACTGCCAGGGGCGCAGCGGCACAGGCCGTGCCCGCGCCGTTCTCGGCCACGCACTGGTAGTAGCCGGCGTCCTGCAGGCCGATCTGTGTGATGACCAGGCTGCCGCCGCCACCCTGCACCTTGACGCGTCCGTTGGGCCTCAGCGGAGCCCCGTCGTGCAGCCAGCGCAAGGCCGGCCGGGGCTCCCCAGAGGCTCGGCACACGAAGCGCGCTGTGCTCGCCCGTGTCCGCGACAGCGCTTCGGGCGCCTGAGAGATGGCGGGGGCCGCTGGGGACAGGAAGGGAGACGCTGACTGCGGGATCCAGCAACCAGGAGCTCCGCCTCCCCACCCCCCCATACTTAGCTCTGCCCCCCCCCCTACGACCTCATTTTCCCTTCCCACCGCGTTGACCTCTCCCAGATTCATCCCCTCCCGCAACACAAATACTCAAATTCTGAGCAGATCTACCCTCCTTCCCCCATTTTCACCCACGTCCCACACTGACCAATCTTTTCCTCTCCCCAGTAGTTCCCAGGCCTCTCAGCCTACCCTAAATACTACCCCAGCTCCGCCAGAACCTAACCCCACTTCCTCAATTTATTCACCTCTTCCCCCTCTCCCTCCAAGACTCCCACCTCCCAGATTGAACCCTCACCCACTATCCAATCCCAGAGCAAACCTCATCCACTATCTCCTCCAGTCACCTCACCTCAGTCCCCACCCTGGTCACTGCGTCTTCCCTCACACAGGCCCTGCCCTAAATCACCCTCTCTTCCCTCCCTAACTAACCCAATTCTCCCACTCCATTCTCCAGTCTCTTCCCACCACTACCTCTCCCCCACTTAACCATCCCAACCCCTTCCAGTGCCCCTCTCAGCTCCAACTAACCGCCCCAACCCATCTCCTCCACACCTTCACCCCTCAGCTCCCCCCACCCCACCCCATCTAGCCTCCCACCTCACCCAGCACGCGGAGCTCAGCAGCTGCGGTGGCAAAGTCGCGGGTGCGAGGCTTGTTGGCGCGGCACACGTAGACGCCAGAGTGCCGGGGCTGCGCACTGGCGATCAGTAAATTGGTGCGGCCCAGGACGATGACATCCGTGGAGATGGGCTTCCCATCTGGGAGAGGAGAGGCAGCCATGCTGGAGAGAGGTGCTAGGAACTGCCCCTCTACCCACTCTCCGGAACTTGGGGCCCCTCTACACCTAGGTTAAGTAAACACAGCAGTCCCGGATTGGAATCTGTGGGTTTCTCCACTTGCTAGCCTGGGACTTCTGTAAGCCCTAAATTCTCCATCTGTAAAAGGGGGAGAGAGTCTCTGGCTGGAAGGACTGCGGTGAGGGTGAAAAGAATTAAGTTTTGTGAAGACCCCTGGCACAGTGGCAGGCCCAGTGTGCTCAGTACAGGAGTCAGACGTTACAATTACCAGTATTATTCAATTCCGTTCTCTCCAGGACGCATTCCTTAGCTCTAGCCTCTGCCTACTACCATGATGTAGGTATTTATTGGACCTAAGATTTGACGGGACCTAAGATTTTGACCCTGTAGGATAAAGCACTGGACCTCAAGGTGGGTTTGAACCACAAGGTCGGAGGTTCAAACTCACCAGCTGCTCCTTGGAAACCCTACACAGAGTTGCTGTGAGTAGGAACTGACTACAGGACACTTAACAACACCAACAAATATTTGAATATGTGCAGGGAATTCTAAAATGAAAAAAAAAAAAAAGTTTGAAAACCCCTCTCTTCTGGCCATGAATAGAAAATCCTGAGATGAAATGCAAACGGCTAAGAAACACAAAACAGTGTTTAACCTCACTACGAATCAAAGAAATTGAAGAACAGGTGCCATTTTTCATCTATCAGATTGGGAAAGTTTTCAAAACAGTAATTTGCACTGCTGGGGAAGAGGTAAATGCTGCTGACTCTGTAAAGGGGCTTTCCCTTGACCTTGAAACCAAGTTGTAGGAACCTGTCTTCGGAAATTATCAGAATTATAGATAAGAATTTGTGAACAAGGACGATCGTTGCAGTATTAACTGAATGAGTGGACAATTTGTGAGGGCTTTAAAAACCAACATCAAACAAGGGAATATTATACCATCCTTTTAACTGATTTTTACAGTTGTTTTAAAGAAGGGGACATATTTATGAGATATTGTTTGGTGAAAAGAGGGCTCCAATATGTAAATACAGCATGCTGTCTTCTTTAAGGGAAAATGTGCACATGTAGTTTTTAAACCTGGAAGAAAATACACTCATAGGTTATGCAGTTTTTATCTCTAGGTGGTGGGTTGCTTTCTGGCTTATGTTATTTTCCCTAGTTTTCTACAGTGGAACACACATGACTTTGCGTTCAGTGAAAAAAAAAAGAAAAATGCTGCCTTTCCTTGACTTAGTATGAAAAAGTTCCTAGAGGGGTCAGGAATGCAGTCCTTGTCCAGCCCTCCTTCTCCCAGTCTCTATCCAGGGAGCTCTGGTGGCACAGTGGTTAAAGCACTCGGCTGCCAATGTAAAGGCCAGTGGTTTGAACCCACCAGCTGCTCTGTGGGAGAAAGATATGGCAGTCTTTCTATTCAAATTTACAGCCTCGAAAACCCCATGGGGCGATTCTGTTCCACCCTCTAGGGTCATTATGAGTCAGAATTGATTCCACTCCACGGCAGTGCATTTGGGGTTTTGGGTTAGCAAGAGTTTCTTCTCCAAGTGAGGTCCCAGGGCCTCAGGTGTAAGCAATTCTCAAATTCTTACAGTGCACATACTCACGGATCCCAGAATTCCAGGGGATCTTGTTAAGCTGCAAAGGCCTGGGGAGGGCCTGAGATTCTACCTTTCTAACTAACCCCAGGTGGCAGGTTCCCAGACTCACTTTCCTTAGCAAGGACCCAGGGCAATTGTTAAACATTAAGATTGCTGTCAGCAGAGGTCACAACACTCTGGCATGAAGGCAGGAGCCTGCAGTTTTAACAAGCTCCCTAGGTGTTTCTAGTGCATGAAACATTGCTATTAGGACCTCTGGGTGACACTCCAGGCCTATCCCAGTAATGGTGGGTGTTGTTAGGTGCCATCAAGTCAGTACTGACTCATAGCCACTCTATGCACAGAATGAAACATTGCCCGGTCCTGCGCCAATCCATCTAGTTGGGGATCTTCCTCTTTTCTCCAACCCTCCACTTTACCAAACATGAATCTTTGTCCAGGGACTAGTCCCTCATGACAATATGTACAAAGTATGAGAGACAAAGTCTGGCCATCCTGGCTTCCAGGGAGCACTCTGGCTGCACTTCCTTCAACACAGATTGGTTTGTTCTTTGGGCAGTCCATGGTACTTTCAATATTCTCCTCCAACACCATAACCCAAATGCGTCAATTCTTCGACGGTCTTCCTTTTTCACTCGCCAACTTCCACATGCATATGAGGTTATTGAAAATACCATGGTTTGGGTCAGGTGCACCTTAGTCCTCAAACTGACATCTTTGCTTTTCAACACTTTAAAGAGGTCTTGTGCAACAGATTTGCCTAATGCAATTCATCCTTTGATTTCTTGACTGCTGTTTCCATGAGTGTTGATGGTTAATCCCACCAAACTGAAGTATTTGACAACTTTAGTCTTTTCTCCATTTATATGGATGTTGTTTATTGGTCCAGTTGTGAGGACTTTCGTTTTCTTTACTTTAAGGTGCAACCTATACCAAAGGCTGGGGTCTTTGATCTTTATAGCATTTTTAGTTCCCTTCATTTTCAGCAAGCAAAGTTGTATCGTTTGCATTTCACAGGCTGTTAATGAATCTTCCTCTGATACGGATGCCACATTTTTCTTCATGTAATCCAGCTTTTTGGATTATATGCTCAGCAAATAGATTAAATAAGTATGGTGAAAGAATACAATCCTGGCGTGCACCTTTCCTAATTTAAAATCATTCAGTGTTCCTTTGTTCTGTTTGAGAAGCTGCCTCTTGGTCTATGTACAGGTTCCTCATGAGCAAAATTAAGTCTTCTATTGAATACTCATTCTCTGCAATGTTGTCCACAATAGAGCACAGGTAAATATCTTTCTGGTATTCTCTGTTTTCAGCCAAGATCCATGTGAGGTCAGCAATGATATCTCTTGTTCCGCTTCCTCTTCTGAATCCAGCTTGAACCTCTGTCATGTACGGTTGCAGCCATTTTTGTATTATCTTCAGCAAAATTTTACTTGCATGTGATATTAATGATATGATCTGATGATTTCCTCATTCCATTAGGTCATCTCTCTTGGAATGGGCATAAATATGGATCTCTTCCAGGCTGTTTGTTGGCCAGGTAGCTGTCTTCTAAATTTCTTGGCACAGATGAATGAGTGCCTCCAGTGCTGCATCAATTTGTTGAAAGCTTTCAATTGTATTTCATTAACTCCCAGAACCTTGTTCTTTGCTAATGCCGTCAGTGCACCTTGGAAGTCTTCCTTCAGTATCTTTGGTTCCTGATCATATGCTACCTCTTGGTACAGTGACCCTATGTATTCCTTCCATCTTCTTTTGATGCTTTCTACATCATTAAATATTTTGTTCATAGAATCTTTCAACATTGCAAATTGAAGCTTGAACTCTTTCTTCAGTCCCCTCAGCTTGAGAAATGCTGAGTGTGTTCTTCCCTTTTGGTTTTCTAACTCCCGGTCTTTGCACATTTTGTTATAATATTTGACTTTGTCTTCTCGAGATGTCCTTTGAAATTTTCAATTTAGCTCTTGTACTTCCTTATTTCTTCCATTAACTTCAGCATCTCTATGCTGGAGAGCAAGTTTCAGAGTCTCTTCTGTTATCCATTTTGGTTTTTTCCCCTTTTTTCTTGCTTTCTTAATGACCTTTTGATGTTCTTGATGTCACTTCACAATTCTTCAGGTCTTCAGCATCTAATGCATCAAATATCTTCAGAGGATCTCTAAATTCAGGTGGGATATGTTCAAGGTCATATTTTGGCTCTTCGGGACTTGTTTTAATTTTCTTCAGCTTCAGTATGAACTTGCATATGAGCAATTGATGATCTGTTCCACAGTCTGTCACTGGCCTTGTTTTGGTTGATGAGAAGGAGCTTTTCCACTGTCTCATTCCACAGATGTAGTCAATTTTGTTTCTGTGTAGTCCATCTGGTGAGGTCCATGTGTATATAGTTGTCTTTTATGCTGTTTAAAAAAGGTAGTTGCAATGAAGAAGTCATTGGTCTTGCAGAATTCTATCATGAAATTCTCCAGCATTGTTTCTATCACCAAAGCCGTATTTTCCAACTACTGATCCTTCCTCTTTATTTCCAGCCTTTGCATTACAATTGCCTGTAATTATCAATATATCTTAACTGCATATCTGATCAATTTTAGACTGAAGAAGTTGGTAGAATTCTTCAATATCATCATCACTGGCTTTAATGATTGGTGTGTAAACTTGAGTAATAGTGGTACTAACAGGTCTTCCTTGTAGTCATATGGATATTATCCTATCACAGACAGCACTGTACTTCAAGACAGATCTTGATATGTTCTTTTTGATGCTGAATGCGATGCCACTCCTCTTCAATTTGTCATTCCCAGCCTAGTAAACCATGTGATTGTCAGATTCAAAATGGCCAATTCCAGTCCATTTCAGATCAGTAATGCCTAGGATATCAATGTTTATGTGTTCCATTTCATTTTTGACAATTTCCAATTTTCCTAGCGTTATATTTCATACATTCCATGTTATAATAGTGGTATCCTAATATGGGTTAATGCGCCAGACTGCAAAACCATCTGAATTGCAAGGTTGGCAGTATAAGTTCACCAGATGTTCTTCGGAAACCCTATACAAGGTCACTATGGGTTGGAACTGACTTGATAGCACTTAACAACAACAACTAACTATGCAAATGTCATCAGTCCCATGAGTTGAAGCAGGTTGGGGAGGCACAAAGATAATAGTAGCTTCTATTTCATCAGCACAATGTTGGATTCAATTTATTATTTTTCTTTAAATTGTATATTTGGGAGCTTCTAAAATTCTATTATCTTGTAATTCCATGAACATTTTGAAGCCGCCCTGTATATTCAGTATATTGCATGTGTGATGCCATGTGGAGTTGACTCCAGTTCATACAGCAGCCCTACAGGACAGAGTAGAATTGCCCTGTAGGGTTTCTGAGGCTGTGAATCTTATGGGAGTAGACTGCCTCAGCAGACTCATTACCTCATCCTTCTCTCCCACAGTGGCTGGTGGGTTCGAACTGCTGACCTTTGAGTTAGCAATCTGACACTTAACCACTGTACGACCAAAGCTCCTTGAATGTGTGATGTTGTTGTTGTTGTTAGGTGCCACTGAGTTGGTACCAATCCATAGCAACCTTATGCACAGCAGAATGAAACACTGCCCAATCCTGGGCCAAACTCACTACTGTTGCCACACTTGAGTCCATCGATGTTGACACTTGGCCAATCCATCTCGTTGGGGGTCTTCCTCTTTTTCTCTGACCAAATGTGATGTCCTTCTCCAGTGACTGGTCCCTCCTGACAATACGTCTGAAGTATGAGAGATGAAGTTTGGCCATCTTGGCCTCCAAGGAGCACTCTGGCTGCACTTCTTCCAACACAGATCTGTTGGTTCTTTTGGCAGTCCATGACACTTTCAATATTCTCCTCCAACACCATAACTCAAAAGCATCAATTCTTCTATGGTCTTCCTTATTCACTGTCCAGCTTTTGCATGCATATGAGGTTATTGAAAATACCAAGGCTTGGGTCAGGTGCACCTTAGTCCTTAAGCTGACATCTTTGCTCTTCAATACTTTAAAAAGGTTTTGTGCATCAGATTTACCTAATGCAACAATATGTTGTTTAATTTCTTGACTGCTGCTTCCGTGACTGTTGATAGTTGAATGTGTGATAGAGACTTATAAAAAAGGAGGCAATGTGGGGGTAAGGTTGGGGGGGCGGGGGATGTGACAGGATGAACCAGTGAGGAAGGATACAGAAAGTTAGGTTCACGATCCGCTTCTGCCATTTAACTTGGGGCAAAACCCAGAACCAAGCCTGCTACCAGCAACCCATTCCATCTCCTGAGGAACAAAGTAGACGTGCTTGCTCTACAGTGTCAGGCTGTAATCTTTATGGAAGCAGATCTCCAAGGCATTCTTGTGTCACCACTTAGTAGGGTCAAACCACCAATCTTTAGGTTAGTAGTCAAGAGCAAGCCATTTGCACCACTCACGGAGGGACCAGTCACATCTTAGGGACAAATAGAAACTGAAATTATCCTTGCCCCCCTTCCTCACGGGACTGCAGGGAGTGATGGACCAGAAACATAATAAGCTGTACAGTTTGGGTCATGGCTCTTGTCACCTACCTCTCTGAATTTGAGTTTCCTCATCTGGGAATACTCATCCTGGCCTCTGCACTCCTCAGAGGGCTCTGGGGAAACTCTGACAGGCGAATGGTGTGAATGTGCTCAGCAGACTGCAAAGTGGTGTTTGGCCCAGCGCTCTTGTTACCCTGATCGTATCTCCTGTAACTCAGTCCCACTTGGCACTTATCACTCATTGTCTGATCCTGTAAAACCTCTCTTCAGGGGTGTATGTCTTATCTCCCTCTCCCAGACTATGAGTTCCGAGGGCAGGGTGTGTTTCTTTCTCATCTGTGTATTTTATTCACCGGACCCAGCATGATTCCAAGCCTTCAAAGGCAGGCCCATGCTGGGGTGGACTGAATGTCGGCTTTGTAGTGAAACTGAAAGGCACTGGATTCCTGGTTCCACCTGACTTACTGGCTGGGGGTCACCCTCCCAGTTCTCAACTACTCACTTGCAACACCACTGTGAAGAACAGAAATAAGGTGGAGAGCTTAGCACAGTGTCTGCCCTATTTAGGGTCTCAATAATGATATTGTGAACCTTAGACTTCAGGCGCTTTGTGAAGGAAGAACGCAGTCGCCGATCTTGCTGTCTGTCCAGCCATGGTCAGTCCTGGGAGAGGAGTTCCTGACAATTCGTGGGTCACCATTCACTAGAGTGGTCTCCTTTATAGCTTCCTGACTTGGGGGAGGTATGTAAGATGCCATAGTTCTCCTTTCCTATGTGTGCCCTCCCACCTTCTACCTCTTCACTCACCCTGTCGGACCCAGGACACAAAAGGGGTGGGGTCAGCTGAGGCCACACACTCCATCACCACACTCTGACCAGACACCACGGTGGTGTTCTCCGGGGCTGCCACGATGACCACATCCTGCTCCCTGGTGGACGCCAGGGACCCTGGAGAGAGGGCAGGCCAGCATTATGTGTCTTCACGTGCAATGCCTCACCTGACATTCACAGTAACCGTGGGAGGCAGGTGCACTGGGGGCAACAAAGGCAGATGGGGAAAATGAGACCCAGGCTTAGCAGGGCTAGGACTTGAACTCAGAACCCTTTATCCTGGAGTCAGGAGAACAGCCTCCAATTCAACATCAGACAAATGACTGAATAACCACATCTGTCCCCATTCTTCTATCCTACAGCCAGCCATCTATAGGACCATAACGTCATGGATAGAGCTCTGGATTTGGAGTCAACAGCCAAAGTCCCTAATCTCAGCACTGTCATTAATGTGCCTTGTGGCTGTAGGCAAGCCCCTTCCCCAAAGGCTCTTGGGTTCCCTGTGAGGAAAATGTGGGGAGTGGGCTTGAGCCCAGGTTCCTGCCAACTAGGCAGCTCTTTCAGCCCTGATTTCCTACTGGGTTCTCAGCATGACCCTGGTCCCTTTGGGCAGCATGAATACTTGGTGTGCCCAGCAGGTGGCAGCAGAGACGCCACCACTCCCCAACTCCCAGGATCAGGAAGGTCACAAGAATGAGCTTAGAGGGAGGCTAGGATGCCTGGCACAGAGGGAGGCCAGAGAGGGAGGGGCCTGGGGTCTGCTGAACATCTGCTACGTGTTGGGCATTATACACTCTTATCTCCGATATTCTCACAATTACTCTGGAATTGGACATTTGATAATGAGCCCAGGGCTTCACAGATGGTGAATAGAGAAGCCAGGATTCAAAACAGGTCTTTTTGACCCCAGAGCCTGTGCCCTTCCTACTCCATTATACTAGGTTGGCAGCTTCTCAGCGAAGTGGAGAAAGGGACTGAAGCAGTAGGCATGGCAGGGAGAACCCCCCCGCCCCCATGCTCGGGCCTCTCACACAAAAGGGCACGAGAGAATGGGCTTCAGGACACTAACACCCCCTCTCTCAGATACACCCCCCAACTCTTGTCCAGCCCAAGGGAATAGAGGCTCCTCAGGAAGGAAGAGCCCTGGGCTGGGATTCCTGTCCCATCCCAGACTTGCTGGGTGGTACTTGGCCACACTGGGCTTCATTGCCTCACCTGAGGGCAAGGGCTGGACCCCTTGAAGCCTTTCTCAGCTCTGAGGTAGCTGATTCAAGAATCCCCCCACATTCCCTCAGGACTTACCTCTGCGGGCCACACTGAGAACAGCCTCCTGGCTGAGGCGCTGGCGGGCTGAGTTGGTGGCCACACAGCGGTAGGAGCCTGAGTCGCTCTCCTGAACGTCCAGGATCTGGAGGACGCCATTTGGAAGAGTGATGAGCCTTAGAAAGGGGAAGAGGGCAGCTGTGAGGTGCACATGGTCCTGGGGTCGTGGGGAGGTGGGGGGGGGGGGGGGGCAGCAGGGGGGGGGAGTGCAGGGTGGGGATTGGACACAGGAGAGCTTGGGGGGGGGGCGGGAGGCAGCAAACTGTCCTGGGCGTAGTCCCACTCCAGTCTGGAATGACTATAGCACTCTCCTTTCAAGTCTCACTCATAATAATAAAAAGAAATACAAATTAAAGCTACAAGAGAATCATTTTCACCTATTAGGCAAAGGTCAGAAGATTTAATAACACCCATGCAGATGAGGGGCCAGGGCAAAGGCCCTTCTGCTTTGTTAGTGGCCATGCCAATTGGTGGAGTCCTGCTGTGGCGCCAGAAATGCACTGGACTGCTAACTGCAAGGTCAGCTGTTCAAATCCACCAGCCGCTCCTTGGAAATCCTATACAGGGTTGCTACAAGTCAGAAACAGTTAACAACAGCAACGTGTCAAATGATGCAACACAAGTTGATGAGATCTCAAAATCAGAGCTACACCAAAAATGGATAGATTTTGCTCATGTATACTGTCACCGGAGTGTCACAGATGTCCTGGTGTGGTGCTCTAGGATAAGCACTGGACTACTAACCACAAGGTTGGCAGTTCAAACCCACCAGTTACTCCTTGGAAACCCTATACTGGGTTCACTATGAGTCAGAACTGACTTGACGGCACTTAACAATACCGACACTAAACTTAAATAAAAAACTAAAAAGAAAAAGAAAACACTGCACCTGCCTTTTGACCCAGATAGCGACTTGATGGCACTTAACACAATAAATGCCACTGTTAGGACTTTATCCCACATATAATTTTATACATATGTGTAAAAATGTATGTTTAACAATACTTACTTGAGTTAATAAACAAAAGACTGAAAACAACCCAGTGTCCATCTGACTAAATTAGTCTGGGTACATTCATACAATGGAATGATTCTGTTGCTGTTGTTAAGTACCGTGGAATTGGTTTCTACTCATAGCCACCCTGTTTCTGAGGAGTGGCTGGTGAGTTTGAATCTCTGACCTCGCAATTCAAACAGACCTTGCAGTCAAGTGCTTATCCTACAGTGTCACACCAGGACTCCACAACAGTATATAGACAGCTGTTAAAAAGAGGCAAGCAGAGAAACTGGAACCTTCATTCTTTGCTGGTGGGATAATAAAATGGTGCAGCCACTACTGAAAACAGTTTGGTTGTCCCCCAGAAAGTTAGGCACCAAATTAACATATAACCCAACAATTCCACTCCTAGGTGTATATGTACCTAGCAGACTGAAGGCAGGGACCTAGATACTTGTACACTAATGTTCATTATAGTACTATTCACACTAGCTAAAAGGTGGAAACAACTTGCATTCATCCACAGATGAATTGATAAACAAAGTGTGGTACATACATGCAATGAAGTATTACTCAGCCATAAAAAAAGAGATGAGGTTCTGATACATGCTGCCCCATGGAAGAACCTTGAAAACCTTGTGCTGAATGGAGTAAGTCAGACACAAAAGGACATATACACAAAAGTGTATAACCCCACTTACGTGAAATATTTAGAATAGTCAAGTGCATAGAGTTCAAAGTTGATTGGTTGTTACCAACAGAAGGTGACAGGGAGAAATGAGGATTTACTGCTTAAGGGTAGTAGGTTCTGTCAAGGATGACAAGGAGTCCCAGTGTAGCGATGTAGGATAAGCGCTCGACTGCTAACCTCAAGATCTACAGTTCAAACCCACCAGTCACTCATCGGAAACAAATAGTCATGATGGTTGCACAATACAAAGAATGTAATTAATGTCACTAAATTACACACATAAAAAATGGATGAAATGGTAAACAGTTTGCTATATATTTTTACCACAAGTTTAAAAAAGAGAGCGAGAGAGAGGAGGCAGCTCCACGTGTCCAAAATGTGTTTGGTGTAAAATAAATGTGTGTGGGGACGTGTATGCAAATGCAGTGAATGGTGGTGGTCTCAGGGGAGGAGACCTGGAATCCTGGAATCTAAGAGTAAGTGAAGACTACCTTTTTACTATATATGCTTCCATACAGTTTGGGTCTTTTTGCTCCCTGTCTGTATTACAATCTTCCTCTTCTGAAAAAGTGAACCCCTCTACTATCTCATCTGACCTTCAAAACAAGGCCAAAATTAGAGGGGATCACAACCTCCATTGTACTGGTGACAAAACAAGTTAGGAAGATGTGGAGTATTTTCCCAGGGTTTCACAAAGGAGCCCTAATGGCACAGTGGTTAAGCACTAGGCTGCTAACTAAAAGGTCGGTGGTTCAAACCCACCAGCTATTCTGCAGTAAATGATGAAGAGTCGGCTTCAGTAATGATTGTAGACTAGGAAGCCCTACGAGGCAGTCCTACTGTGTCCTAAAGGGTCACTATGAGTCAGAACCAACTTGATGGCACCTAACATTAATGCTGGAACAGAGTTAGAACTTGAACTCAGGACTTCTGGTGCCAAACCCCATGTTCTCCTCACCCTCCTGTCTCAGCCCCCACCAAGAGATGGCTGAGGATCCCTGGAAGGGGGCATGCTCCCAAGCTGTCCCCAATCAACATGGCATACTACTTGGGGTGGGAGGGGGGATGGATGAGGATGGTGTACTCTGACATCATAGTTAGAAGATTAGAAAGGCTCAGAAGTCTTGCTGGAGAGACATGTGAGCCGGGACAGGGAGGTAGGTGGTGGGGAGCAGAGTGGACTCTGCTCACCCAAGCGGCAGGTGAGCGGGTTCTCCCTAGTCACCGACTGTGATCCTGCAAGATTAACTCCTGGTTGAGTCCTAGTTTCTCAGTAGAGTAAATGGGGCCAGTCTCTGGGGTGGAGGCCGGGATTGGCCAGAGAGGACATGAGGCAGCACATGCACTTGTTGGAAACCCCTTAGTTCAGGAGAACACTAGGTTCTTCTTCACCCAACATGAGAAGACCAAACATGGATGAGGAGAACCAGCTCAAGGGTTGGGGAGGAAAACACACACAAAACAGAGAAAAACAGTGGCTGTCAAGCGGACTCCAACTCATGGTAACCCTATGCATGCAGAGTAGGACTGTGCTCCATCAGACTTTCAATCACTGATTGTTGACAAACACATCACCAGGCCTTTCTTCCAAGGAGCCTCTGGGTGGACTTGAACATCCAACCTTTCTGTTAACAGCTGTATACGTTAACCATTCATACTGTCCAAGGCCTCCTGTGGAAGCGTGCTGAGACTTCCAGCCACAGACCGAGAAACCTGCTGTGACTTGACAAGCACTTTGTTGTTGTTGTTATGTGCCGACTCACAGCGACCCTATACAGCACTTTAGGAAAACAAAAATTAACTTGTATCACTTCATCCCACAGGCAAACCCACCTCCTGTAAAGGAACCCCCACCCCAAGCCTTTGATAGACCAGCAAGGGAAAAGGGACACTAGCCAAAGGGACAAGAGAGGTTGACAGACATGGTTAGCCCTGGGAATGGGGAGATCAGAAGGCTGGACGAGGAAGCCCAGCTCTGTTAGTTCCAAGTTTCCTAATGTGAATGAGGGGTGATAACAAAATGATTTCATGTGGATCCAAACACACAGTTTTTACCCGAGTGATGATTATGTTTTCTTTTGCTGGTTACCTTCTGTGTATGGCATGCAGTGCTGGTTTCTCACTGACTGCAGAGAGATAATGTTCCCTTCTAATATGTGTTAAAGTTACAAAAGAGTGAGCTGATTTACAGAGAAGTATTCAGCTAGTGAGTATATAAATGGTATTATTGTTAGGTGTTGTGCTGACTCAGAACTCTATGTATAGCAGAACGAAGAGGTGGACAAAATGAGAAAGGTGCTTGGGAAGTCCCAGACTTTAGGAAACATTGTTCTCATCAAGCACAGCTTTCCATGGAAGATGCGGCACTGTGGATTAATGCGCTGGACTGCAAGGTCGGTTTGAACTGCAAGGCTGGCGGTTCAAGCTCACCAGTCACTCCTCAGAAACCCTATACAGGGTCATTATGAGTCAGAACCGACTTAACAGCACTTCACAACAACAATTATTAGGTATTAGCATAAGTATAAGGGAATTGCCTCAGGGTCTAGTCTTCATCATTAGTTCCAAAAATATGCACATCTACCCTGACAGAATGTGTTTATTAGCTGCACATGTGCGCACCCTACAGCAAGGCATATGGTCTCCTTCAAACCACTGGGCTGAGTTTATGAATAGCATATTTGTACATGTACTATATCTGGGCATGTGTAAAAATACATACCTTGGGCATAATCGAGTTGCTGTTTTAGATATTTCTTTATTCCCCCACACAATGTGCTGGGACATGTGAGCCTGGCTTATTTATAGATGAGGATCACTTTTCAGAGGACTTGGGGGCAAATGATCCAGAGCCCAGGAACTGGCAGCGCTAGCCTCCTGGGAGAGGCCTGTCACTTCAGAGGACAACGCCCAATCTAGATGTCAAGGTCTGAACCTCACAACTTTGGTGAAGTCATTTCTCTGTCCTGAACCACAGCTGGACTACCCGATCTCTAAACCCACTAGCAGCAAAAACTTCTTCCGTTTTTTAAGGGACCCTGTGGCTTACTTAGCTCCACCACCAAGTCACCCCTGGGGTTCCTGAATAGGTAGGCCTAGGTTCTGGTGTGTGACCTGGAGCAAGTCATTTTCATCTCTGGTCCTCATTTTCCTCATTGAACAATACAAATAATATCTACCATGTGGCTTATAGGCAGACCTAGAAAGATGTTCTTTATATGTTAAGTATGAAGGGGTAAATGTTGCAGACCAATACAATTCCGTTTTTAAAAATAGATGATTGAAGAAAAGACCAGTAGGTACAGTATAATAAAGAGAATAATTATAGAAAATGGAGGAAAGATAATAAAATTAACAGTAGCTTTATGTTGGTAGTAGAAGAATGGGTAATTTGTGTTTCTTCTTTTTTATCTAAATTTTAAACTAGAAGTAAACAGATGAAAATAATAAATACCCATCTCGAGGATGATGGGAGGATTCAATGAGAAAACATAATGTAAAAGGCTCTCAGCACAATGCTCAGTCCAAGATGAGCTCTCATTAAAGTGGCAGCTGTGCTGACTTTAAGGAGCCCTGGTGGCATGGTGGGTTAAGTGTTGGGCTGCTAACTGAAAGGTTAGTGGTTTGAACCACCAGCTGTGGTGTGGGAGAAAGATGAGGTAGTCTGCTTCTGTAAAGATTGACAGCCTGGGAAACCCTCGGGAGCAGTTCTCCCCTGTCCTACAGGGTGGCTGTGAGTTGGAATCAACTAGATGGCAGTGGAGTTGGTTTGGGTATTTGGTTGTGACTTTTAACATGGGGAAATTTTTCTGTTGCCTCCAACCCCTTCTGGGGCTTCCAAGAGTAGGTTCTGACTTTGGCTTTTGACCCGCTCCTTTGTTCTGGGTTCATGGAATTCCCAGGAGTCAACTACCAAGAGCAGTGAGAGGTCCCTACAGTTAGAAAGGCACAGAACTTAAAATGTCAGAGCTAGAGGGCTCAGAGTGCACTTCCCAAGGTTCACTCCCTAGAATGCGCACTTATGAGATGTTAACCAGGTTCTCCAGCAAAAGGAGGCATGGGTAAAGGATTCTGGGATGTGCTTGGTTAAACAAGTTCTTCTCAAGGCCTTGCTAACTCTGAGTTACAGGCAGTTTCCTGACCTTATTGATCATGGGATACTTTTTTTCAAGAAGTCTCTTCTGATACTAATATTCTACAAAGAACATGTTCTAATCCAACCCTTTCATTTTATAGGTGGGAAGAAGGAAGCTGGGTGAAAAGCGACTTGCCAAGGACCAACGGGGTTAGCTGGTCACCAAAATCAACAGGATCCCTTATGTCTTGACCTCTCGCACCTTTCTTCCTCCCTCACAAGTGTCCCAGGGGCGTGTCCTGTGACTTTTCTTGAAGTGACTCTTACACGGTCCACTTTTATCTACCAGAAGAAGTCAGAGAAGTTGTGGCAAAGTCATGAGTAGTCTAGTTCAGTCCTAGAGGAAGAGATCTGGACCTATGGAGCCCAACCTTCTCTCAAGAGGGAAGGAGAGTGAGCAAGCTGCTTACTAAGTTAGAGAGACGCAAGGAGAGGACTGCAGAGTGGCTGAGACAGTAAGAAAGGAACCACATTTCCAAAGACAAGAGAATCTATGGGGTGATGACCTAGTCATGAGACCAACTCAGAGACCACAGATGCAAATGAGTCTTGTGGTTTTCCAGTTACACTAAATGCACATCTGGATCCCAAAATAAGGATCAAGTCTAGGATCTGGTTTCTGTTTTTCTTCCTCCCCAAACACTCTTTGCTGATGGCTCCAGTTACCCAAGGCCTTTGTGGGGAGAGAGGAGGATGAGGCGGGAAGGACGGCCGCAGCCCATTTATCAGGTGGCTGCACTGCACTGGATGGCACCAGAACAGGAAGAGGAATCCTAGACCCAGGATGGACACTAGTTCACTGGCGTTGAGTCACTCCCCCACTTACTGTGATGCCATGCACAACGAAATGAGATGCTGCCTGGTTCATCCCCATGATTACTTGCGGATTGGATCTTTGTAATCCACTGGCTGATTTTCAGAAGTAAGTCACCAACCACACTTTTCTTCCTAGTTGGGAAGCTCTGCTGAAACATGTTCAGTACCATAGCAACGTACACGCCTCCTTCAAATCAAACCAGGGTCTTTGCATAGAAGGTGAGACTTCTACCACGAGATCACGACTTCCCTTCAGCCCTTCATGTCTGCCACCCCCTAGCCCCGCCCCCCAAATTCTGGATGAACCTTGGAAAGAGAAAACCCTCCAAGCAACCTTGGGGCCCTGAACGATCAAGGAATAGTCTACCAGTGACTCATTGTGTGGCCTGGTTATCACAGGTCTTCTCTAGCCCTCAGTTTCCTTCTCAGTAAAGCAAGTGATTGGGTTAGATGTGCTCCGAAAAACTCCACTACTAGTCTCCAGCCAAGCTTCAAAGCTTAGTGGGTGGCTTTCCTCCCAAGGAACAAAAACTTCTCGTCCAACTTGTCTTTGGGATCAGAAATGAACAGCAGTCGGGCAGTGGTTGGCTAGTTTGGGCAAATAGAGTCACCTGCACTATGAGGACCTCAGTTCCTGAGCAGAGTCCTCTCTGTTGTGCCCACTGGGACCCACTCCACACTCCTCTTCAGAACACTCACCGAGGCTCCTGGGGAACTGTCACCTGGTCCTTCTCCCAAGTGATGACTGGTGCTGGCAGCCCTTCAATGTGGCATTCAAACCGAGCTGTCCCATTCTCCTCCACCGTCTGAGACTCCGGGTGCAGAGAGAAGCCTGCAAGTGCTGGGGATGAGGACAGTGAGAGACAGACAGGGACAGGAGAGGCACAGAGGAGAGACAGCAAAATACACACAGGAACATAGAGCAACAGAAACACAGCAGAGCAAATTCAGACCAACGGGACACACACAGTAGGAAAGAGGCAGTCAGAGGGATAACAAGTAGGGATTACTGGTCAGATGCTGCAAACAGAATGGATCCCCCACCTGCCCCTGCCTAACATCCCCATGGTGGTCAGGTCAGACTACAGTAAGGTACACATTTCTCTGGGCCTGAAAGCTATTTCACGGTGATCAGTGCCTTCTGAGAGTTACTCACCAAAGGACTGTGCAGTCTGACTCCACGCACTCCACCTGTGAGAGTGGCATGGAGGAGGTGGCTGACCTCTAACTTTACACGGAGGAGATAGAATACCATCAACCTCAGTCCAAAGTTGACTCCTACAAGGTGGAGGTCAAACGTACTTCCATCCTCTAGCCCAGGTGTGCCTCCTGACACTCTTATCAGAGGGCAGGCAGCCTTCCTGGAGTGGTACACAGCGCTAGATTCTAGACCTCAATGGGCTAGTGAAGAAAAAGTAGAGAGAGAATGGGATACAGAACTGAAGGGCAATGCCAGGAAGGGACCCACGGAGCAGGATGGGAAGCAGCTAAAAAGGACATGGGCTCCAGAAACCGGTGTTTCTGTAAATAACTAACTGTGGATCCCACTTTTCATACTCCAATTCTCCTGGGTCCCCGTCCCAAACCCCAGATGCAGACACTTACTGGCGAGCTTGACTACAGCGGCCTGGCTGGCCACCACTCCAAGAGGACCATGGGCCAGGCAGGAATAGCTGCCCTCAATGACACCTGAGGGCCCAGGGGCCACCTCATCACTACCATCAAGGAGTGCTGGCGACTGGGACAGCCACAGGGAGCCATTGGGCAGTAGCTGCAGGGGGTGGTGCTCAGGCAGGGAGGCCCCATCCTTGCTCCAGGTCACACTGGTGGGGGGCCCAGCGGTGGTAGCCCCCAGACTACAGTCCAGCACCACGGCCTGACCCGGGCCCAGGATCACTTGTAGTGGCCCCACTCCACAGCTCAGTTCCACAGTCGTCTCCTGGGGCAACGCCAGCTCCCCTGCACGAATGAAGAGGTATGGGTCATCAGTTATGTCCCTCCATGGCCCATAGCTTCCAGCTCCTGACTCACCACCCCCCAAGGCACCGGGGCCAGTTTCAGAGAAAGACTTGTAGCTGAATCTTGACTCTGCCCTTTACTAACGGTGGTCAGGGTACGGTTGCACTTCTCTGTCCTCCTGTTGCCCGCTGCTCCATATCTTCATCCGTAAAAACATACACTGCAGGGCAGCATTATTCATAGGAGTCAAAAAGTGGGAACAGCTCAAGGCTGATGGTTAATTTTATATGTCAATTTGGCTAGGCTAGAATTCTCAGTGGTTTGGTAGACATCGGACTGGATGCTGCTCCATAGGAATCCTGGGGTAGCACTGTAGGATAAGCACTGGACTGGTTATCACAAGGTCAGCGGTTCAAACCCACCAGCCACTCCTTGGAAACCCTATACAGGGTTGCTATAAATGGAAACTGACTCAACAGCACTTAACAACAACAACATTAAATGTGACAATCTTTCAGTTGATGCAATCAGTTGATTGGGGAGGGTTTCCTTGGGGGTATGACCTGCCTCCAAAATATAAATGGCTACTCTGGCACAGATTGGCCGAGCACTCTTCTCTTGTCTGCAGAAGTTTCTGGGCTGCTGCTCTCTGACCTGAAGAGTTTGGAGTCACTAGCCCCTCACAACCTTGTGAGCCAGCAGAGATCTTCAGCCTGCTGCCTGACGTACAGATTTGGGATTTGCCAGCCCCCACAACTGTGTGCGGAGTCCTGGTATAGTGCTGTGGGTTAATGCGCTGGACTGCAAAGTTGGTTTGAACCGACTAGATGGTACTTAACAACAATTGTGTGAACCATTTCTTTGAAGTAAATCTCACTCATTGGTTTTTTGTTACTCTTGCTGTTATTGTTAAGTGCTGTCGAGTCAATTCCAACTTATTTGTTGTTGTTGTTGTTAAGTGCCATCAAGTTGGTTCCGACTCATAGCAACCCTGTGTAGGGTTTCCGAGGCGCCAATCTTGCAGTTCAAACCAACCTTGCAGTCCAGTGCATTAACCCACAGCGCCACACCAGGACCCTGTAGAGGGCTTCCAAGGAGCAGCTGATGAGTTTGAACCACAGATCTTTCAGTTAGCAATCCACTGCTTTATCCTACAGAGTCACACCACACCAAACTAAGACATAAAGTTTCTATCAGCTGATGAATGGATAAACAAAATGTGGTATATCCATACAATGGAATATTCTTTTTTTTTAAGTTTTTATTGTGAATTATGTGATAGTTTACATGGGAGAACATTAGCTTTACATTCATCCTATCATTGCAATGATTACAATCCCCTCCATGCATCGTCAAACAATCAAAGGGTACATGCCATAAACCTGCCCCTCGGTCGTCAGCACACAGCTTCTCTCCCTCTCTGGGTCTAAAGTCCCCAGCCGCTCCATCTCTCCACATCATCTTCTCTGCCTCCATCTCTGGCATCACTGTTTCTCTGGGTAGGGTTCCGTACTCCGCTCTTCTCCCTTGATGGTCCCAGGGACCTCCACTCCTTGACTGCAAAGTCAACCCCTCCCCTCCTTTTGCTACAAAACATCTACCTTTACATTTCCATCCCTCACAGTCAGTCCTGATAGCAATTATTCACAAGAATCTTATCCCTGTCTCCTTTCATCAACCCCGTCCAGACAGATTGGATCAAAGGAATATTCTTCAGTCCTACAAAGGAATGGAGTTGTGATACATGCTACAACATTGATGATCCCTGGAAACATGCCAACAGAGTCAGTAACAACAGGTTACTTATGGTATGATTCCACTGACAGTAAGTGTCCAGAATAGGAAAACACATAGAACCAGAAAGTAGATTAGTGGTAGCCTGGAGTGTGGTGGTTCTGTGTGGTCAGCAATGGACTGCGAACCATAAGGTCTGAGATTCAAGCCTGCCAATAGCTCTGCTGGAGAAAAATGAGGCTTTCTGCTCTCGCAAAGATTTAAGGCCTTGGAAACCCTATACAGGATGGTTCACTATGAGTCGGAACAGAGCACACAACAAATGTAAGAAAGGACATGTGTTGTGTATGTGTGTGTATGACAACACCACGTATCCCGGATAAACAAAAATAATTCCAGGCTGGTTTCCTGGTTTGTGGAGCCACCTGGATGAAAGGACATTAGATCCTGTCCCTGTTCCCCAATTTTGGATAAAGTAAACAGATCCCGATGGGAGAAGCTAAGTGTCTGTGCTGCCCATGGAAGGGACTAGACTCAAGCTGGGTTCAGAGCAAGCCCAAGGAGAGGTTCCCATGGCTCCCATAACTCATTCCAGGTACTGAGAGATGAAACCCTGGTGATCAGTTGCCTCTTCTGCCCCAGAGACTGAAGAAGCTAAGCCAAGCACCCCTCCTTCCTGCCATTAATGTACCCAAAGTTATGCAGCAAGCCTGAGCAGACCTCTGCTTCCTTAAATGCCCGTTCAGGACTCTTTTCTCTCCAAAGGTCCCAGAAGAGCCTGCAGACTGCCACAAAGAGAAAAGGAACAATGGAGAAAGGGAATGCTATCTCAGGATCAAGGGCAATGTTTATGAATTTGAGCAAGGTTTCAGCAGGGCCCAGTACTCATTATTCATAAAGAAAGGGTTGGTTCTTCCTGTTGCATCTCCTAGGAGTTGAGCTGCTGCCTCCCTATCCTTTGTATAAAAATGCTCAATGGCCCATGGTCCCTTCTTAACCTTTGACATGATCCTTTGCTTGGAGGCAGTGACATGTCTAAGAGTGAATCTGGGATGGAGGTAAGAATAATGATCAATTTTCCCTGTGAGGTAGGTCTGGGCTGACAAGGAGGCGCTCAGTTCTATACCCAGCTCTGTCACAATCTAGACTTTGAACCAGTCACCTCTCATTCTGACCTTCAGCTTACTCATAGAATGTAGTGGGCTTACTCAGTTTACTCGATTGTAATGGTTGATCTATGAGAATCTATGATTTAATGATTCAATGACCTAGACACACCGATTCCTGGACAAGCATATAGCATCTCCTGGACACACACACACCAAACTGTAGACTCAACTCTCCACACCTAAGCACAAGCACCTCGGTTTCTGCCACACTCATCACACCTGGACGCACATATGCCAATACTTAAGAATCGGGGCAAGACAACAAGTCTCCAGGCACTTTCCCAATACCCCCAAGGAGGAATGATAATGAGGGAAAAGTCCTGATTGGCCAAGGCAAGGAGACAAGCTCACAGGTCAGGGCCCTGATACAGCAGTGGGAAGGACAAACAGACAGGCAGGTCCTCTGTCTCAGCACTACCATTGGGGACAGGGAGGAGAAAGCAGTCCTAGCTGTTAGCTGAGTTTCATTCTAATAGCACTGAAAACATGGCAGGCCATGTTCTGTGCTGGAAAAGCCCTTGACCTTGGTGCAGAAAATCAAGGTTCTAGCCCTCTACTAGTTGTACAATAAGTCACTTCACCTCTTGGGGCTGCAGTTTCCACAGGTGCAAAATGGAGATGACCCTATCTAAGCTGATAAGGATTAAACACGTTGTATGTTAGAGATCACAGACCCAGAGTCCTGGATTGGTGTTCTAGGATAAGCACTGGACTGCTAACCGAGAGATCGGCGGTTCAAACTCATCAGTCACTCCTCAGAAATCCTATGCAGGGTCACCATGAGTAGGAACTGACTCAAAGGCACTTAACAACAGCAATGTGAAGGTTCTAGCCCAGGACCAATGGGCATCACTCAAGACTGACAGCTCATTCTCTAAAGGCCACTTCATAAACTGTAAAACCAGACTCACTGCCATCAAGCGGATTCTGACTCACACAGGCCCTATAGGAAGGCCAGCGTAGAACTTTCCCAAAGGATTTCTAGGACTGCCACACCTTTCTCCTGGTGGGTTCAAACTGCCTACCTTTAGAGTGGCAGCCATCGCTTTAACTACTGCACCGCCAGAGCGCCTACAAATTATAAGAAATTATAAAGAGCTGTACAAATGCTAATTGCTGATTCTAACATCCAGTCCTTTCTAGCTCTAAGGGCCGAGATTCCATGATTCAAACACAGAAAGCAAGACCGGGCGCTCAGCCCAGTGGCTTCCAACCGCCCAGATCCAGCCGCTGAGCAGTGGGTTTGGGTTTCAGGGGAGAAAAACCCTATACAACATGAATCCTAGAGCCCTCTGGCAGCCTCCCCGCCCCCCAAAGCATGTCCGGGGCTTGGAAAATCCCCTGCCGCGCTGAACAAACAATGTGAACAGTTGGGGCTCTGAGCAGCTGTTGGGTATGTCAGCAGCCGGGGCTCTGGCAGGCAGGACAGTGGCCAGAGGGGCTGGCGACTGGCTGCGGAGCCCAGAGAAGGCTCTGATTCCCTTCTTGAATATTCATGGCGCAGCAGATGTCTGGCTTCCCCACCTCTGAGGAACCCCACAAAGCCAAACAGGGAAACCAGGATATAGATACAAAAAAAAACCCCTGAAGTTCCTCAGAGAGAGCAACAGAACTGTGCCAGGAGCCCAGGAAGACTTATTTGAGTGAAAATGTTTACAAAGCCTGAAATGCTCATTTTGCAGATGGGGAAATCGAGGCCCAAAGAGACTTTCTGTCTTTGAACGGGCAGCAAACCTAGCATTGAGGAGATAATTGCCCCCAAATTAGAAGATATCTCTACCTCAAAGCGCAACTCAACTTCTGTGTCCAGAAGATGCATCCTTTGGGTTTCAACTCAGATGTTAGTTCCCCTTGTGTGACGCTGTCCCTGCCTTCCCCAGATGGAGTTTTTCTGAGTCTCATATCACATAGCAACTTGGAGGTCCCTTCCTCTTGTTCAGACAGACAGTCCAGTGTTTGATGTGACAAGCTTTGACCTAGAATCAAAATCCTGGGTAATGGTATCACCAAAGGGTGCAGATGACACCAGGTAACATTCTAAAAAGGGGTAACACCAAAATGATTGTCTAAACAGTTTTTGTGCAGTGTTTCAGCAGAAATTGTTTGGTTTTTAATATAAGTATCTCTGTAGTTTTAACAATGAATGCATTATTTGTAAGCCCAGCTTACATATATCAATATACCTCCTGGTGTGGTGCTGCGGGTTAATGCGCTGGATTGCAAGGTCAGTTTGGACCACAAAGTCAGTGGTTCAAGTTCCCAGCTGCTCCTAGGAAACCTTATATACGCTCACTATGAGTCAGAACCAACTCAAAGG